TGTTTTCTTCAGGATGCTGTTCAGGAGGTCCATAGAAAAGTATACTTGTTAATTTTATAGTAAAGTAGTTGAGAAAAACTCAGCACATAATTCTTCTTTAAAACACTGGTTCATATTTGATTTAAAACGTCAACTTGTGTGACCTTGACCATATAACTTGTGTTTCACTAACCTGGAAATATGAGTTCCATGCCCGCAGCCTCTGAACTTCAAAGATTCCTCGTGGGATTATATTGGTTTTTATATTCATTACCATAAGTTATTTCCTTTAACAGAATATTTTACCATTTGTGTTAATATATATAATTTCATTTTCATAATAAATACTAAGTATGAAAATTCGAAGAAGATCGATGCTATTGCCGAAAATAACTCTGAATGGCAACTCAAGCGATGGCACCCATGAAGTTCATGACGGACACGTGACGTAACAGTACATGATTGGTGGGATTAACTTGTCCCTTCTGCGCATGTGCAGGATTTAAAAAAATGAGCTTATTAAAGCCTGGTCTAGAGGTGTACTAAAAGTTGATCCTGGTCGCTGCCAATGCGCATGCGCACTAAAGATCTGGATTAAACTTTAATACTGGATTAACTCTTATGGCACGTACAGAAGACGCCATTTAATACTGTCTTCTATATCATATGCGTAGGGACATGAAGGGTGAATGTTGAATAGATATCTTTTTGATGATTTTGTTGCTTATTTACAGGTATGAGTACATGACTTGCTCCAAACACTACCCCACACAACATGCAACAGTTATGTGTGAAGAACAACATTGCACAGAAATGATTTTTCAGCAATAAAAAGACAACATACCTCAGCTCCTACCCTTTAGATTTGTAAAACCTGTTCTCACACGCCCAGAAATACGAGACCATGAGCTATACATCAACAGCAGAGGGCAGAACCATCACTGTATCACAGACCAGGAACATCACAAGAATTGATAGAAATTTAAAGAGACAGTCTATTAACTTAAGATTCCAAACAAATCATATTTGAAACAGATTGAAGAAATGTGTACAGAAAATAGAGGTACGAACTTTCTTACTTTGATATGATGCTAGTCTTATGGATTTCAATTTTGGGGACATTGGGAGGCATAAAGAATTGATTAATAATATGAATAAGTTTTTAATGCCTTGTCTTCAATCATGTGGGTACGTCTGGGATGAAGGAAAGGAAAAGGTGGTCTTCAGAAGCATATGAGAAGTTTAAAATATTATTTACAGAACACTTTAAACAATTAGGAGGCAAAGCAGTGCAGAGATAAAAAGGCATAAGATAATTAGCATTATGAAAACATTAGTAAGAGTCTCAGTTTCATGAAATAATTAAAGATGATAGATATTTTGAAACCTAAGAGATATCTACAATGGTTTCTTAAATATGATTACCAAAAAAATTACATTGCAAAAAGAAAGAAAGAAAAAAACATGAAATCTCCCAAAAGAGCGAATTTCACGCGCGACATTTCTCTTCTCTCCGACATGTTTACATAGAATAGTGAGTACGACAGCTTTTACTGAACATTATTGTCGCGCCGTCTGGCAGCGGAGAGTGTCGTCTTCGGCACAGACACGGTGGATTAGGATTAAACTAAATACGGTATTAAGAGTTAAGGACGCTACAGAAGACGCCGTACGATAAAGAAAATGCACATCGTGTTATAAAATGATAGTTATGATAATGTT